TCCGGGCTCCCCCGGGGACTTGTGCTGCGGCTGCTCATCCTTGTCTGCTTGCCCCTGTCCTTGGCGGCCGCCTCAGAGATTTGACACATATCCCCCCCATTCAGCTCCATAAAACATCTGGGATTGAATTTTTTGTTCTCAATCCTAAAAAGCCTGGCCATGCCCTGCTGGCTGCAGTCCAACTGGCTCCCTTTTAGCTTCTCCTTCAGTTTCCAGGGTTGGTTTTCATCAAAGAAGGACTGGCTATCAAAAGGAGGATTTATTTATAGGGTGTCAAATACTCTGTGTGGCACTGCAGGATGGTATACCCCATTCCTGAGCAGCTCTGTGGCTGCACACAGCTGTTCCACCCTTCATCCTGGCCAGGCACAAGCCAATTTCAACACCTTCCTAACATCTCCCTGGCAGGATCCATTTCCCAGGAGAAACATCAGTCACGGCACTAAATAAAACTCTTCCTAGCCTTGCCCTTCCCAGGGTACAGAGTGGCACATTGGACCCCAAAATGACTGACCCCAACCCCCTACACCCCAAAGCATCCTTCCTCACAGCCAGATCTCAGCAGCTGGCCATGGGCAAGAGCTTTTTCCATTTCTCTGCTCTTTTTTGCTTTCCTGCCAGTTTAGCAAGCCTTGCAGACTTTCTACAAGCATCATGGAGATGCGTGCCTGGGGACTGGTGACACAGCTTGGGACATTCATCCCCATTAGCTTTGGGAAAACAGGCAGGTGGCTGCCCATGAAGCTCCAGAGCTGACCCAGCAGTGCCTGCTGCAGTTGGCCTGGCCCCCGCACCCCAAGCAGGATCCAACCAGTCCCTGCCCTGCATCTCAGCCAGGTTCAGTGTCAGCATCACAGAAATGGGATGCTGGCAGTCTTCCCCATGGACACTTTCCATATAAGGCCCCTCTCTTCCTTCACCGTCCCCAAGGTCCAGCACCCACACAGGGGAGGAATTGCTGGCATGCCTACGTACGTCTGTAGCTTTCTTCTCTGCCTGCTCCAGCTTCTCTTGGGCCTCCTTGACAGACTCGGAGTACTTCTCCACCTCATCCTCCGTGCCCTTCAGCTTCTTCTGCAGGCCCTGCAGTTCCTCCTCCAGCTGGAGAAGGGATGGAGGGCAGGGGTCAGGGGGGATGGCAGTGCCCGCAAGGCTGGGGAGAGGATGGCTGTCCTCCTCCTGGGATGGTCAAGGCTGGGAGCACAGCAGGAGCATGCAGACATGCTCACTCTGTCGACTTTTGGGCCACATGTCCTCAGGTAGCACTTGGTTCCCAGGGCGAGAGCAGCCTTCAGCATGCCTGAGCCTGGCAGTGTGTAAGGGGGCGGTGGGCTCCAGGCCCTGCAGTTCCTCCTCCAGCTGGAGAAGGGATGGAGGGCAGGGGTCAGGGGGGATGGCAGTGCCCGCAAGGCTGGGGAGAGGATGGCTGTCCTCCTCCTGGGATGGTCAAGGCTGGGAGCACAGCAGGAGCATGCAGACATGCTCACTCTGTCGACTTTTGGGCCACATGTCCTCAGGGAGCACTTGGTTCCCAGGGCCAGAGCAGCCCTCAGCATGCCTGAGCCTGGCAGGGTGTAAGGGGGCGGTGGGCTCCCTCTCGGTGCAAGGGACTGGAGAGGTCCTGACTGGGGGACACAGCTCCGAGGGGGCACCAAGAAAGTTCCCATCTCTGTGGCTATGGTGGGAGTATGCTGTCCTCAAGGGTCTCCCTGGCAGAGGGATAGGGAGGTGGCACTGTGGTGTCCCACAGAGACATGGCATGTTTGGGGGGGAATGATGCGAGTGGTCAGGGGCAACAAGCTGGAGTGCTGGTCCCTGGGGATGGGCACCCAGCAGGATGAGGTCTCCAGGTACAAGCACCCAGTGGGGTGAGAGCCCAAGGGTTGGGCACCCCTAAGAGCTGGGATCTGCAGGCTGGACACCCAGTGGGGCAAGGTCCCCAGGGCAGAACACCCCTAGGACAGGGGGCCCCAGACTGGACACCCAGCAGGGGCACGTCCCCAAGGCTGGGCACCCCTAGGTAGAGGTTCCCCAGGCTAGACACCCAGAGAGATGAGGTCCCCGAGGCTGGACACCCTTAAGGCGAGGGTCCCCGGGCAATACCAGGGGGGGCCCGTTGGACACCCACCTGCTTGCAGCGGTCCTCTGCCTGCTTCTTGTCAGCCTCTGCCTGCTCGGCGCGGTCGATG